CTGCTATAATAAAGGAAGGACATTGTAATACAGAGTAACATGATTAATCTTCATCAAGCCTCTCTTCTTATTATACCAATATCGTGTATTTTAATTCGACTATAATGCGATTCTCTAGAGACATCTACCCTTCCTCATGGTTAGTAGCTGTTCAGACAGTCTAGACAACCCAATGTAACCCCTCCCCATCACTCACACGTCAAACTCTCTGAATCCATCCGCCGACGCCACTGGCTATACCCCATATCCCTTCGCATCAACATCTACAGCTGAATCATCCTCCTCATTGTGCCACCAAATCGATGTAAGCACATCCAACCCCAAGGTCTCAAACTCCTCCAAATTAGCCTCCTCCTCCCCTCTCTCAACTCTTCCACCCCAGCTATCGGCACACGTAAACACTTCTCTCACACAGTCTATGTTCCACGGTCCGCAGTCCCAATCCCCTCCATCCATACTGTAGAACTCGACCACCAGATTAGTCGCGCCGAAGAGCAGCTCGCACTGTTCGCGGCAAAGCTGCGTCTGATGCGTCTCCCGCGCATCACCCCAGCTAACCCGGTACCACATAGAGTAGTTCTCTGGTTGGCATGTTGTGCTGTGAACCATGTCGTATAACTGGGCCATGCAGAGGCCCCGTGAGGATTTGGGCTTGATAAGAGCAGTGCGGACATTGCGGAACCACATGTCGAAGCCCTCTGATTTCAGATATCCCATAGTCGGAGGCGGTGGTTGAGATACAAGCATCCGCCGCCAACTGGAATTGCCCATAGTGAAGTTCTCAAGCCGCTCCGTCTTCTCCAGGATAGATAAGCTTCTCGCTTCTCCTTGTGCTTTAATCGCTCCTTCGGGAGCCCAAGGTAAGCGAAGGAACGAGTCTGCTCTTCGAAGATACGTGTACTTGCGGTCGACATCGAAGAAGCATCGTCCAAACTTCTCAACCAGCAGCGGGTTGAGTGTGAAACTCTGCAGTTTTCGGGCCCCTGCCGAGGACACGGGTTGGAAGAACAGCGCTTGCTGTATTCTGGGAGATTCTCCTATCATCGCAGCCCAGTGACGACATACCCGCGATGCAGACACAAGAAGTGTCTTCATGTCAAGGTGTAAGAGGATGAGCTCCAGCAATTCCGGCACCGCGAGTATCCTGGCCATAGTGACTGCGAGCTCCATTGCGAATTCAGATCAACGTTGTTTATATCGAAGGATCATTCCAGATGCAAGACAATAAGACTCGAGAAAAGTGAGAATGGTGCGGGTTGTCATACGAAGTTTTATAGAAGCTGCAAAACCGATGATGTAGTGGTTATCAAATATGGGAATTAACCTCACATGATGAACTGGGCTGCGAGTCATGATGCCATGGCTGCACTTTAGTGCATGCATGCGACCAAAATGTAACTTCATATGTTATGTTGGTTAAAGTTGTGCCAAAAATCCTGCCTCGGTAGCAAATGGCCAAGCTTGGTTGGCTTACAAGACCTGCCTACTTGGGCTGTGAGTGCCAATCCTGTTTGACTCTCCCATATTCATGGCGCTAATGAGATTACACCAACGAAGCAAATCACCACCTCAATCCGATAAGGTTTTATACTTTTAGGGTCAGGCTGGATGGAATGTTGTTAACTGCTTGGTACATGAAGTAAGAGAAATGGCACCCAAAGAAGGCTCAGGCTGGATTAGAGGTATATATATATCTCATTCATTAGCTGTGCTGTTGTGTACATAACCGTCTTAGTCGAAGAGGATCTTTATCTTCCCTAGTGCTCCTTTCATGACACCATTACACACAGTGACAAAAGGAATTCCCAGACGCCCAGACTCCAATCATGCTGCCAAAGGCCCAAAATGACAGTCCCTTGTTACCCTAAAAAGCCCAAACAGTAAATCCTTGCACAAGTGCCCCGTGAAGATTAAAGAGGTCATAGAGGAGAGGAAAAGCGTGTGCGCGCAGTCTACTTGGTTCGTTCCAGAACCTCGACTCGCTTGTTTCCGAGGTCGACAATCTTGCCGACAAGCTTGCCTGCCTGGTCCATCTCGGTGATGTCGTCGGCGCCTCCCAGGCTCACACCGTTGACCATGATATTGGGTACGGTCCTTCGGCCTGTTGTCTCGAGGAGTTGATCTTGCAGGGCTTGGCCTTGGGGATGGATATCGAGTTCAACGACGTAGGGCTCGGGTGTGATGGAGTACTTTTCCATCAGAAGGCTCTTGGCTCGCTTCGAGAAGGGGCAGTACGTCTTTGAGAAGATGATGACTGGATGGCAATTAGTGATCATGGTCCTCCCAGTGTTTGCTCTCGGAGACCTACCAGGTGATTTCTTGAGGATAGAGTCAAGCTCTTCGCGAGCCGCAATTGCCTCCTTGCTCCTCGTCTCCGTTTCGGGTTTCTTCTCCGCTGCTGCCGCGGGAGCTGCTACATCGCCAGACTCTCCGCCAACAGGCTTGACGATTTTATCCTTATCCTGACCTTCCGCAGAACTTCCAACTCCCACAACCTTCTTGGGAGGATCAGGTCGCAGACCTCCCTTCTCGTTTGCCTTGCCCTTCGCCTCGGCCTCGGCCGCCTTGAGACGCTCCTGCATCTGAGCAGCCAGCTTCTGGTCGTCTGCGTCGATATCGCCGTCTCCATCCTTGTCAGCGTGAGGCTGTCCAGCCTTCTCTCCGGTTGCAAAGTCGACGATGGGTGCCGGGGGCTCGTTTGCGCTCATGGCATTTTGGGTCTTCTTAATAAACTCTTGGCCCGTATAGGTCTCTGCATCGTGATGCGAGTCGAACCCCGAGGTGTAGAAGAGGATAAAGATAAACGTGCCAATCGTCGCCAGGATTAGTAGGCGTACTCGGCGTGGAGAAGGCATGTCGGCGGGATGATGATCTCAGGACCAGGGGTGGGTGCGCTAGGGAGCGAGCTCTGGTCAAGAGCTCTTGAGCGTCGCGCCGGCGAGCGATTGGAGTTGATGGAGGAGCAGCAGGGTCGTCTCGGATAGCGATGATTAAGGAGCGTCGAAAAAGACGGGAAGGACAGTGAGAAAAGATATCGGTCGGCTGGGGTGTTGAGCCGAAGATGACGGCGGTGGGAAAATGGGAATGGAAACGGAAATGAAGAGGAACGGGATACGAGAGTCGACCTCCCAGGGACAGATTCTCCAGATTAACTAGAGCCTGAGGTAAGGGAGAGCTCTCCAATTCCAGCAGAGGGTAGGTGTCTGTGGCCAATCAGGGGGGGTCTCATGGGGGATAAGACAGTGCGTGTCATCATGGACTGTGCTACAGATGGAAAGATTTTATTTTATACGCTTGATAAACCTAGAGTTTGAGCAGTAATATCTTATAAAAATTTTTTTTGAATTGTGTGAACTCAAAGAGGTACAGGCAGTATTCGAAAGTAGCATATAAAATTATAAACCATGTTTGGTTCAAGTATCTAACCAATGCTCATATGGCCATCCAATATTAAACAAACTCAGCCCAGCACGCCAATATCAGAAGAGCCAGCTTCTGATTTCCTCTCATCACTTCCACCCGATCATTGCAAGATCTTGGTTCTTCTACAGGTCAGCACACGCATCATATTAGTCGTGGGCTTGTCACCTACCATTGAATATCTATACCGTCAGCCGGTTCACGGAATGGTGCATCTCCTTCCTGGTCAGGCACAGTCTGTGCTCGCACACTCTCACTAGGCTTCTGAGGCTCTTCGGACAATACTTGGGGGGCTCCATGGTGATAGTGTGATCTTGCGCGGTGCAGAAGGGCTGCTCTTGTTGCGTGGAGGTGTCGAAGATGTTGATTACCGTGGCGGTGATGGTGCATTGCTGGTGCAGCCTCGAGAGTGAAGGCCCAAAGGAAGAAGGCTAGAAAGAAGGAGAGTTTGAAGGATAACATTTTGTGCTGTGAATTGAAGCGATGCAACGAATTGGTTTGACTATTTGCTTGCTGCTATCACGAAAACTCTGCTGGGCTATTCGCTCTTATATGTCCTTTGGATACCCTTGCTCCCTTCTCCCATCGAGACCATATGACGAGCAGTGTACTTACAATGAGTCTGCTCCATGCTTCAGTGCCGCATTCGGTCGCAACCGTCCTTTCTTGGGGCCCCTCGGGAGGAATTTGCAGGGTCGTGAGCCGCACTGAGACAATCTTCTAATAGAGCTGTTTGCGACAAGAAACTATTTCTGGTCCCGCCAACCCCTTCAACCTATGCTCACTCCATCACATGAACCCTTTTATCAGGATAAAGCTCATATGAACAGGTTTTAAACCCCTCATATAAGCTATTTCCTTGGCCGTTGAGATCGTCGTCAATGTTGATCTGGCCCTCGTGGAAAGGGAAGGCTGGTACTTGTGAGACATTCTCAATAATCACGCTACATGTGACATTGTGGGGGTTACAGTATCACGATTTGAGTGTTTGTTGCTCAGGCAGCGATCTGGCTCAAACCTACATCAGAACTATCAAGTTGACGTGTTAATCTTTTCATGATATTGACTTACATGGAGGCCGTCTTTGAAGCGTGACTAATCGACATTGTTGCTTCGAACCAATAGAAACCTGCCAAAACTCTTTTTCACAATGAGCATCCATAGGTAGTGGCACGGGCGTTGATGGATCTTGACAAGTTGCATTTCTAGTGACTTCGATTTACGTTGAAAAGAAGTGTCCTTTTACTTTCGACTGAGTCATATCCTGGAGTTTCATGGCATATAACGGAGAATCAAATTCATTTATTCGTCTATCCTTTCTGTTCTCTCATTTTTTGATTCTTTGTAAAGTTCCTCGCCATTTTACGTTGCAACCCTTTGAACTCACTCCAGTTGTCTCCCCTTGAGTTCTCCGACCTTGTAGACTTTTAAATCTGCCCCTTCAATACTCTGCTCGAGGGTTTACAACAATCACCAATAATACTCCCTCGTCTCAGATCCGATATCAAACCCTGGCCACCCTTTTTATTCAACCTTGAAGAGCTCTCACTCATTTGAGGCATCAGATATTCATATTCAGGATGGCTCCCTCAAGGGCAAAATCCTTGTCGCTCATGATCGCCCTCGTTCTGGGTATTGTCCTCTGCATCTTTGCAGCACCGACACTCGCCTCAGCTCCAGCTGCAGCCTCACAACCATCTCCAGAGGCAGATGTCGAACTCATCTGCCACACAGATAACCCCAAAGACTGTTACCCAAAGGTGTTTCAACCAACAGATGAGTTCCAGGTCGTCCACGATGATCAGGAACTTCCTCACGGGCTCCATGTCCGCCTGAATATGTCCAACGGCAAGAAGGAGGCCAAGATCAATGTCCCCGATGAAGGAAACCCTGCACTCGAAGGCCTCCCGGTTGACCAGGCTGTTGTTGTCGTCGATCAGCAGCAACAGGAGGATCCCCAAATCCCCAAGGGAGCACCGGCTTATGAACCCATTGGTAAAATCAAGGAGCCCGAGGGCGAGGATTTCGTCGGTAAGCCCTTCTTCACCGCCATGAAGATGTTGAAGGCTGGCGAAACCGGCCAAGGCAAGGAGCTTGACGATGCGCTCGAGGGAATGGAAGAACTGTCACATGATATTTACTACGGTCTCAAGGTCACCGAAGACCCAGCGGTGTTGAAGGCTCTCTTCTGCATGATGGCAGATTCAGATGTTGCTTACCCTGCTGGCATCACTCCTCGGGATCATCAAGCAGCTGCCATCCTCGGGGCCGCGCTGCAGAACAATGCTGCGGCATTGAAAGAGATCACCAAGCAGTGGCCTAGTCTCATGGAGGGCCAGTGCCCGAGCAACAGCAAGTCTCTAAAGGAGTCTTTCTATACACCTCTTGTGCCCGCTCATGTTCCATCGTCGCTCAGCACCAAGACGTTGGCCTCTGCAGCGAAAGCCAAGGTTGGGGCTATCAACGGCCTCATCAAGAGCGATGTCATCCGAGAGGAATTCCTCAACAACGACGGCATGAAGCTGTTGCTTGAGGTGCTCGTGCCCGAAGGCAAAGAATGGGATACTACACAGCGCAAGGTCGGCCAGTTGGTTCTAGATACTTTCTTGGATGAAGATATGGGCGCAAAGCTCGGTCAGTGGCCTCGCACGGAGCGAGACAGCGACGCAAAATGCCGAGTATTCGAGACAAGCACCGGAGAGGGGTGCTGGGACTACCATGTCGCGAGGATCCTGAAGGAGAACAAGAGAGACAGCGGGCATTGGAGCCGGGATCTACATGATCGGCTTGCAGCATTGAGGAAGAGCGGAAAGGTGCCTCCTCGGGTTGAATTGTAGATTCCAGCACAGCAATTAGTAGCATAGCGTAGCGTAGCATCTGCCAAGCGAGATTATTATAGGTAGGCAGAGCAATAGAGCAACTACGCATTTCAAGTTGTAAAAATCGAGCATTGCGACATTCTGCATGTGAGATTGCTGTGCCCAAATGTGGTGCAATTGAAGGATTGATCCTGATGTGGTTCGCTAGATTGAGCTCGGTGCAGGAGAATTTCGGACATTACATTGACCTTACTCCATCTTACAACCAACATAACATTCATGGATGTTGCTGACACCAGATCCTGAGATAAGTCAGTACTAACCCTACCTACTAACTTATATACCACAATCGGACCCGTCTTGATACGTATTTCTGCTCTCCGGCTCTTTCGGACCAAAACCTCAGTCTCCCTCGTCTAAAATGAATCAAGACGTGCCCTTCCAGCTAAGGCATGATAAAAAAGGTCGTGGAATCTTCTCCACCAGAGCCTTTTCTCCAGGCGACATCATCCTCCCATTTACACCAACAATTCTCATCCCCTCGCTATCTCATATCAAAACCATCTGCAGCCACTGCTTCAAGCCGGCTGACGTGCGCTCCTGTTCCGGCTGCCACGCCGTGTCCTACTGCGATGCCACTTGTCAATCTGCGAACTGGACTGCAGTCCACTCCAAAGAGTGCAAACTACTGCGTAAGGTGACCGAGCAAGGACACCCGGGCATACCGACGCCCGTACGCGCGGTGATACAGGCGCTGGTGAAGCCTGGTATTGGCGCTGCGTTGGAGAACCTCGAAGGAAATGTCGAGTCTTGGAGGAAGAGTGACAAATGGGCCGACATGGAGATGATGGCCATGGGTGCTACTGCGTTTACTGGGCAGGGCACGGGTCAAGAGGAATTGCAGAAGACGCTGGCTCTACTCTGCAAGGTAAGCCTCCCCAGAACTGCATGGCAACAGGTCGATATACTGACACACTGCAGATTCAGACAAATGCCTTTCATAGGTATGATGCCGATCTTGGACAGGTCGGCATCTTTCTCGAACCAAAGCTCGCCATGGCCAACCACTCCTGCATCCCCAATGCCATGGTGCAGTTTGTTGGCAGGAAGGCCATACTGAGAGCTGAAAAGCCGATCAAAGTCGATGAAGAGATTGAGATCTCTTACACCGGTATGTCTCATATCCTCAAGATGCCCTGTCCACTGACGTGCTGTCAGATTACACGTTCCCTCGGTCCAAGAGGAAACACGCACTCGCACCGTATTTTTTCGATTGTCAATGCCCTAGATGCGAGAAAGACCTCAACGTCTACCAAGTCTGCGCCGGCTCTCCAATCATCAATATGAACCGCCATAGCCTGGTTGCTGATGTCGGCAAGCTTGGCAAGCACCCTGCCGCAACAGATTCGACCAAAGCCTCAACGGCTACGAGTTTCAGCGAGCAACTGTCTGATTTAATAGATGAGAAAGACCCTACCTTATCACCAGAGGATCGTCGAAGAGTACTTGGAGCTCGTTACCAGCAATGCAGAGGACTGACAGCCGAGAACCTTTGGGCGGTATCACCACTCCCACAGCTGCTGACTGAGGTATCGATCCTATACATCGAAGAAAGCAACTTCATATATGCCTTAACTACGGCATGCTTCGTTGCGACTTCCAGCGAACCTTATCGACATGTCTTGCCACATCATCCTATTCGCATCAAGGGCCTTTTACTCGTCGCCAAATTACTCGCCAATACGGCAGCCGACACGGCCTCACTCGGCAATTCACAAGCAGTGGCATCAAAGGGAGATATTAATCAGAGGGCTCTTCAAACACTACAGGACATTGACCAGGTTTCCTTGTGCCAGATGCTTCTCATCATGATTATAGCGTCTGTTCCCAGGGACTATGCTCGAGAATGGGAAGTCTCGGCCACCGCTCAGCAGATGCTGGATGAAATCAATGAACTACCAGGAAGAGACCAGGAGTTGTCTCTTATCAACGCCTGGAAAGAGAATCCTGAGGGTGAACAAGCTCGAGCTTTCTTTGAGTATGCTGTAGTGAAGCAAGTAGATTCTCTGGCAAGTTTGGGACTCGAGATACTTGAGATGGACTTTGGCTATTAGATACATAGAGATAATTTAGTGTTGGTTTACGAACCGAATAGATTCTCGAGTTGAGAATATAGATGCTTGAGGACTGGACTTTGGATATATAATTGAGTGTCGTAACATTTCTTGATTACATACCTACCTTAAGTAGGTAAGGTAGGTCTTTATATCCATGTCTACCCTCCTGTCGCGTGCTAGGTCGGCGCGTAAAGTGGTTAAGCCTACAGACACTCTCTCATTGGCCGATCTCATAACAGGCTTGCGCCGGGCCCTACTCTCTACTAGGCTAGGTCCCTTGAAAAACGCCTGGCAAAGCAAGCAGGTACGTACCTCTGGCACTGCAGTGCACCTACTCGGGTAAGGTAGTAGTAAGTTACTGTCTGCATTCTTGGATCGCCATTATTTTTTATTCCTTCCCAACATTGTTGCCTCACGACGTGATCTCTTTCCACGTTTCTCCTTGTAGCGGCGCATTATTTGCGTTCGCACTTGCATAAAGTTCGTAATGGGTAAGAAAGCAAAGAGAAAAGCCGCCAAACTCGTCAACAAAGCCCTTACAGCCCTAGGATCTGACCCAATCCCCGAACCCGTCGACCAGGCCTCTTCAAGCGACAATCAAGATGAGGCCCAAACCTCCGACAAGTTCGACCAGGGCGTTCCTGTCACGACGGCCATCGCGACTCTCGAGAAGGATCCGTCAACACAAAGCGATGGCAGCCTGAAGCGGTCTAATCCCCATGACGCAGACGACGGCGGAGAGTGGCAGGTCGTTTCACGGGCTGCAAAGAAGCTTAAGAAGGTCCCTAAACCTGGCAAGAATTATCCCACCATTGCATTCTCGCCCAATGCGCGACTGCAATCCAAGATCAATATTTCCCAGATGCGAGACCTGGTTACATATATCTTTGCCGACGGAGCTGGCCCTCAATGGATCGGCATTACCCATCGCCCAGCGTTCCGAAAGATTGTGGCTATAATGATACCCGGTATTGAGGAGGCCATGTTCAAACACAACGTCGACTTTGATACATATAACGATGCTGATCGGGAGGGAAATGCTGCCGTAACGTCGCCGGACGACTACTATCCCCGTCCACTGAAGAGAGAGCGCCTGCCCAAGGCTCTGCAACCATTCGCTGATATGTTCACGCATCTATGGCCCGTCAAGACACCCGGCGATGACAGGCACGGGAAGATGCATTCGCCCTTGGCCGCTTTCCTAACAACCCCCACCCCGAAGGAAAAGAATGGGCCAAAGAAGGGCATCAAACCAGCACACGAGCCTTCAGGCTGGAAGAACGAGAGAACACGCATCACCGAGTTCCTTTGTACAGTTGATGATCTAACTGACAACGGCTACTTGGTTCATCCAGCTATGCTGGAAGGTGTTGCAAGAGATCAGTTCGTCCTCCCCGAAGGATGGGTCATCACCCATGTGAAAAGCCTCGAAGAAGGTCAAGTCCCAGAAGACGAAGTTGAAAAGGGCAGCATCACCCAAGGACGAGACATTCTGGCCCTGGATTGTGAAATGTGCATGACTGGAGAGGACGAGTTCTCCCTGACAAGAATCAGCATAGTTGACTGGTTCGGCAACGTTGTGCTCGATGAACTTGTCAAGCCTGATAAGCCCATTACCGACTACGTCACCCGATTCTCTGGAATCACAGAAGAGATGCTTGCACCTGTAACAACTACATTACATGACATCCAGCAGAAGCTACTCGAACTGCTGACCCCTCGCACAATCTTGATAGGGCACTCTTTAGAGTCAGATACCAAGGCTCTCCGCATCACTCACCCCTTTATCATCGACACATCCATCATTTATCCGCATCCTCGCGGTCCTCCTCTCAAATCCTCTCTAAAATGGCTGGCGCAAAAATATCTGTCAAAGGAGATTCAAAAAGGTGGTGCAAATGGCCACGACAGCATCGAAGACTCTAAAACCTGCCTCGATCTTGTCAAACAGAAATGTGAAAAGGGCAAGGCCTGGGGAACGTCCGACTCACAGGGAGAGAACTTGTTCCGCCGACTAGCGCGAGCTGGAACTGCATACAAGGCCCAAGGGGGGGCCGCAGGTGGCGCGGAGGTCGGCAAGACGAGCGCAGCTGTTGACTGGGGTGATCCCTCCAAGGGGGCTGGAGCCGGCGCAACTCATCAGCTCGGCTGTAAGAACGACGAGGATGTAGCTAACAACGTAATTCGTGCTGTGCAGGGAGACCCGGATGGCCTCGAAATCCGCGGCGGCGGAGTTGACTTTGTCTGGGCGAGAATGCGAGAGGTTGAGGCCCTTCAAGGCTGGTGGAACCGTAACCGTGCCGACAACATAAACAGCGACGGTGGTCCTCCACAAGACCCTGAGGCCGTCCCATCCGACAAGTCAGAGCTCGAGCGGGCCCTCGTACGCCTTACAGAGCGTCTCACACGCATCTATGACGCCCTGCCGCCCTGCACAGCCTTCATGTTGTACAGCGGTTCGGGCGATCCGCGCGAGATGTCGCGTCTGCAGAAGGCGCAGACACAGTGGCGCAAGGAGTACAACACACCTGGCAAGAACTGGAACGACCTGAGTGTCAAATGGACCGATGTCGAGGAACAGGCGCTCAAGGAAGCGGCGCGCAAGGCTCGGTCAGGCATAGGGTTTATCTCGGTGAAGTGAAATACCAACACCAAAGGGACGCAAAGGTATCAGACAACAAAGGACACTGTTGCAACTGAAGACAAAGTGTCAGATGCGTAACAATGCATATCTTGCTGAGGGACTATTTACGGCTCTACAAAAAGACTACTTGCATGTAAACAGACCACCGTCTGTTAAAAAGTGCACAAACAAATGAGATCAAGTACAAGGGTCATTACAACTTCTCATTAGAATTGTGCCTAGTAAATCCCGGTTCTTCGTCGTCTCAGGCTGGTAAA